TTCTATTACATAGATTCTGGATTAGAAATGTAGAATATGCAGGAGTAGACAACCATGATTTTCTCCTCTTTTATAAAAGCAAATTATTTTTCCGTTTTTAGGTTGAGCCTATTGTTTTTATATTGGTCTAGAAGTGAATCCATTTTAGGCTGAAAAACTGCTTCACAATAAATCTAAAACATTGGCCCAAATAATTTGGGCCTAAGATTAATTTGTGGCTCAATGTAACAGATTAAAATGCCGTGAAGCCCAAACCATTATTAAACGAGTGTAAAGAGTCCAGTGTTGAGTGTTGTACGCTTCACTTTGATCTCCAATTCTCCTTAGACATGAAAAATCTCAACAAGCTCCCATAAAAAGGTATTAACGTTGAAAAAAGGCCACCAAACTTTGTGGAATTGCCAAGTTAACTACCAATTGGCAATTGTCATCAATTATGCCATTACCTATCATACATTCATTAAAAGAAAAACATTTACTACATCCGATCCATCTTGCTTGTCATATTTTTTCTTAACATTATTTTAGAGGAAGTTATTTATAAAAGCACATTATTAATTAAAATTTTATATTTACCCAGGGTAATTGGGAAGTTTGGTTTTGTTCTTTTTTAAAATGGAGTAATTATAAATGGGGACAAATTTGAAAAAATAAAATAAAGACCTTAGTGCTATTTTGCAAATTGACAAGTAAATTAAAGGTTAAATCCTCAATTTGATTCCTGAACTATTGTACAGACCCTCGATTTGGTCCTTAGTGTTTATCAATTTGCCCTAAGTTGGTCTTTCCATATAAAAAACAACTGACATATCTCATTACTAACGTGACACATGATCATTAAGAAATTGTTTTTCGTCATTAAATAATAGACACGTTAGTTATTTTTTATACGAAAAGACCAACTTTGGGTTAAATCAATAAACAATTGGGAACAAATCAAGGGTCTGTATAATAGTTTAGTGACTAAATCAAGGATTTTTTTAAATTCAAAAATCAAATCAAGGATCTGTATAATAGTTCGAAACCAAATTGAGGGCTTAACCTAAATTAAATCATTTCCTTTTAAAAAGTGTGATATGTAAAATGGATAAGAGGTAGTACCATGTTAATGCAATTTTACTCAAGTCAACTCACTCATGAAAATTGAGAAATAGATTTCAAGAATATTTATCCATTTCATTTGATAAATAATTAGTAAATTGTAACTCAACACGTTTTATGAAAATCAAACAGAAAAATAGTTAAAAGATTAAACATAAAATAAAATTTTCCAAACATGCTCAAATAATTATTCAAATTGATACAAGCTAAATGACCTTCGTTTTAGTCTTTATATATACGTCATTAAACTCATATCTTCCATGAAGACGCTACGTTTGGATTTAATTTTGATAAATTTTGTGATTTTTGAAGAAAACTGGACCAAATTACACCCTGTAAATAAAATAAGATTGATGGCTTAATTGAACATTATTGACGAAAAGTTGCTAAACTGAATAATTTAGATTAGATTAAAAGATCTTTCCACCCTTTAACTTTATCCTTTTTATTATTATTTTATTAATACTATATTATTCCTCTTTCCTCGTATTTTCTTGTTTGAAAGAGAACATATAATATGTTAGTGAATAGCACGAAACAATGACGTCCACTTTAGTGAAAAATCAAAAAATAGTGTCTTTAATCATTCAAATTTATTCCATTATGTGTGAAGGCAAATTACGTCACGTCTGAATCCGAGAAAAAAGATTTTGGGATTTGTTCATCCTAGGGACTTATTTTCCAACATCATTATTTTCCGATAGTATCATGATGGGTGCATACTCATATTGGTCCACATCCAGATTTAAAATCTGGGTGTGCACTTTCCACATAAAAGAAAAAATAATATGCACCAAAATCTTTATTTTTATAGGGAGTGTGCACACCCAAATGTTAGATCTGAATGTGCACACATCATTTTCCTTTCCAATATCATTTCATGTTAGACGGCACGTTTTTTTTTTTTTTTTGAATAAGTATAATCACCCAGGTCTTCTAAACTATATGCTTGTTAAACGGTACGTTTAAGGGAGGCGTATTGAATTTTTCTAAAGGTCAATATTCCAAGAAATGAAAGCACTTAATTTGCATTAATTTTTTTAATTACTTTGACTATAAATTGGAATGTTTTCCTCTTTTTCAATTACGAAATTTCTTGCCATTTTCATTGTGAACAAAGAATAATTTCATTGATGCATGTATAGTTGACAAATTGTTCTTATAACAAAACTTATAATACCTTTTATCAAATAATTAAGGATAATATAATAATACTAGCTAATATCAATGATCTATTAATTTGAATAGAGAAAGTTTAATATCTTTTAAATAAAATTTTAAATTTATGTTTTATAAATGAAAAAATAAGTATTGAGAGAGTTTCTTCCCTTATAAATATAAATTAGTTAAGGTCTAATATAACTTTCAATTATCAAAGAGTTTAATACAAAAAACAATACTATCTATTACTCTAACTTAGAAATTTAGATTTTCATGGAAGCAAACCACCATCTAAAAAATGTTGACATGATTTATCACCCTAAATTTTCATTTTAAGAAATTGGCTTAAATTTAATAGTTATAGTTAAATTCTGTTAAACTATTGTTTCTAAAATTTAACAAAAGTTAATAGTAACCATTAAATTTTAACCGATTTTTTGAAAATGAAAATTTTGGATAATAAATTATGTCAACATTCTTTTTAGGTAACAATTTATTTCAACACAATAATTTTAAGGAGAATTTGTGCCTTTTGCGAAAAATTAAATTTAAAGGAGAAGTTATATACAAATAGGAAATTATAGGGTAAGCATTTACAATGATTTAATAAAAGATTTTTTAACTTTTACCTTAATTAAGGTTACTTTTATATCATGAATTTATATAAAAAAAATTATATTAATTTTAATATTATTATCATATAAATAAATTTAATTAAATAATTAATAAATTAAATATTAACTTTTATTCTTTAACCAAATTTAAATATTACTATCACGCTAAACATATGCCCTAGATTAAAAAAACCCTTTAATAAAAGACTATGCACCTGTCTTTGGAAAGCGCCCAGCACACAAAATCAGCCAGGGTATGCTTTAGTCCTAGAGACAACTATGCATTATATTATTATATATCGCCCTTTTTGACCGGTAAGAAGAAATTTCGATGCAAAGCAACGATTTTTGTAAGTTTCTTTGATGTGCTTCATGCGCTAAAAGGCAGACATGTAGCGAATAATTTCAACACATATACTAATAGTAAAAATTATTTCATAACTAAGATAATTTTAAATTATAAAATAGTAATCCTTAAATAAGAGATAAAATCTTTAATATTAAATTTTTTATTATTAAAATTTTTATAAATAATAATTGGTATACTTTTCGATTCAACATAATACATAATACACTCTGATTCAACCATTAAAATTTATCTTTGAAAATTTTCTCGCCATGAATTCAAATTTAAAAATAATAGTTTTTTAATAAATATATTGTAAAATGTGTTGAATCAAAAAGTGTATCAATACTTTTTTAATTTTTATTTTATAATTTAAAACAATTTAAATTATAAAATAACAAACTTATACTAATAACTAATCTTATTTTTCAAGTTCATAGCACAGCAATCCCAACAGTCCCAATATACGTGTTTTAATGGAACACGTGTATTGGGATTGTGTTATGTGAACTTGAAAATGATTATGTGTGAGTAGTAATTTTATTTTACGTGAATTTTGAGTTCTCTCTCTGTATTTTATTAAGTAAAATATTTTATTTTGCTCTTAAAAAAAAAAAAAAAAACTAGTCTTATTTTTCAACCTTCATGTTTTATACTTTTGATTAGTGGGTCATTTACCAATGAGGCCTTGGGTCACAACTTTAATCGTAAATTCTACTCCCACTAATGTTAGGTCTTGTCTAATATTTTCTTAAGTTTTATAAGAAAATCCGCCATTGTTTGGATATCGAAACTACATGATAGGCATAAATACTCATCAATATGCTGCCGATCACCAAAAA